GCTAAGAACTTCATTTGAACAACTTTAAAAATGATTTTCTCAACATTTAGATTTTTTTGCACCCTCAGATTCCAGATTTTCAAATAGATGCATCTCGACCAAATATTGTCCTATCCTAACAAACCATACATCAATGGAAAGCTTATTTATTCAGCTTTCAGATCTTAATTTTGAAAAACTGACCCTTATGACTGGTTTTGTGCTCCAGGATCACGTATGGTGCCGAATAACGAGTGTGTGGGTTCCAGACATACCTGAGCGATTTTGACAGAGTTCTGTGTGGATCCACCGGCATGATATTCGACTTTACTCTTCTTCACAATCTCATCAAACCTGCAGTGAGAACACACACACACAAACATCAGAATATATGAGATCCTGATGAGATGAAACACCTGCAGTCACTGTACAGCACATGAAATGCAGAATTATGCGAGCTGCTGCCACCTGCAGGCCAGAGATGCTAAAACAACATTCACATGGCAACGTGCTCAATTCTGCCTTTTATAGTTTTATATTTTGTCATAGATATACATTATGCAGTTAAATGTGAGGAATGGTTAATGTATGAACAAGAGAAAGAAAATAACTATCTAGTTTCTAACTTTCAAACTTATTTCATCACCATTACACCAAATATTTCCTGAATTTATTTTCTTAACATGTTTTTTGTGCCATTTGTCTCTAGACTTTATAATATTATATTACTAATGCCAAGCAATTATATTAAATATTTATGATACACAAAAGTTGCATATTAGAATGATTTCTGAAGATCATGTGACACTGAAGACTGGAATAATGATGCTGAAAATACAGCTTTGATCACAGAAATAAATTACAGTTTAACAGATATTCACATAGAAAACAGCTATTTTAACTTTTAATAATATTGCACAATTTTACTGTATTTTTGATTAAATAAATGCAGGCTTGGTGATTATTATTAATTATTCAAAACGTATTATTAATCATTCCAAACTTTTGACCAGTAGTATTATATTCATTAATATTTTGCTGAAGATTATAGCAGTGACTGTAATGTGTGATGACGACACTCACAGAGCTTTATGTTTCTCCTCTGCCAGAATCTGATCATTGGGCTTCAAGCCATACCTGTGCACACAACAATCAGTTAGTTATTTATGAATAATCACTCTAGGATGTGTGATCACTCAAGCGTGCCGTTTTAACTGCAGTCACAGGAACACGCCGCACATATGACCTTTAAACCCACTGCAGTTACACACAACACTCACTTATCAAGAAAATCCTTATCCACCACGGCAGAGATGTCCAGCAGCGGATTCCCCATCCCGAACAGAGCATTCTGACTGCAAACACAAGACACAGATATGAATAAATCATCTTGCAACAATAATGCACTGATATTTATAATAAACTTTGAGCAAAGCACTTTGAATTAACTTCGCATATGAAACGTGCACAGACTATAAATTAAAATTCTAGAATTGACTCCCCCTCGTTCCAAATCTGTGTATGCATTATTTTTATTTATTTTTTTTAAGCATAGAAGTGCACAAATTTGTCACGGGCAAAAACTGCCACCCAACTCATCAGTGCATGCACATGTTTTTATATAGCATTATATAGTTTAACACTAAATTTTATTTTTTTGCATTTTAACTTTTGTAATGTCAAGCATTAGGAATGACACAAGAGTTGAGCAGATTCCTGAGTGAACTATTCCTTTAATATCCACTCTGTGACAGTAACAGGTGGAGGTCACATGATGGGGTTTCTGTGACCCTGCCTTTGAGACTTGAACCCTTGGAACGAGAGAAGCCAAACAGACCAGAATTCCTGCTCTTTTCTATACAGTGAAATTGACATTGTAGAAGGTTGTTGGCTCTAAACCACTGAAGCACCACTTTCTAGCCCCCCAGCCCTTGTTCTTCACATTTACAGTATATTTATGCATTTGGCAGACGCATTTATCCAAAGCAACTTACATTGCATTCAAGATATATATTTTATTAGTTCTTTCCGTGGGAATCAAACCCATGACCCTGGTGTTGCTAGCGCCATGATTTGCTGTTTGAGCATCAGGAAGGTTTTCTAGTCAACTTCACTCTTCGTGGCTCTGAATGGACTCACAAGTCTAATATTAGCCTGACAAATGTCCATTTTACACATCAAACCAGCAGTGTATCATGTCAACTCTACATGTCATGCATTAGAAGTTAACAACAAAAACACTGTTTCTGGATTTGAATTAACATTGTGAAAAATTCATGCACATTGAAAATGAATCTTTGAACCTATTGTGTGTTTAATGGGTTTAACCGGAATGTGTTTACAGCAGAGCACATGCTATAGTGCTGACTAAACTCTTTACACACACACTCCCTCTCTCTCTCTAAACTATGCACAGGACCGGACTAAAAATCTTCACCATTAAAGCCACACAGGGCTGTGATTGAGCAATATTCTATGCACATACAACTTGGACAAGCAGAAATTTATTAGGGAACTGGAAACAAAACTGCAACACAAGTGATCAGTGAATGCACGTATGCAACATGCATTCTGGCATATAATGCGTGCATTACTGTGGCGTGTGTGTACATGCATGTCTAAATCAATCTGATAAAGACAAACACACGAGTCACCAAACACCAGAATAACTGCTTGGAGGAGTAACAGAAGTTGTCCTTCCAGTTGTCATTTTTAAAATCGACCAACTGCCCTGTTAATAAATAGTGCACATTTTCTGCTTTCAAAAATTAATGTATTTAATTATTGTGTACAATAAGTGTTCATTCACATAAAGCCATGCATGCATACACATATATATATATATATATATATACAGTGGGTACGGAAAGTATTCAGACCCCCTTAAATTTTTCACTCTTTGTTATATTGCAGCCATTTGCTAAAATCATTTAAGTTAATTTTTTTTCCTCATTAATGTACACACAGCACCCCATATTGACAGAAAAACACAGAATTGTTGACATCTTTGCAGATTTATTAAAAAAGAAAAACTGAAATATCAAATGGTCCTAAGTATTCAGACCCTTTGCTCAGTATTTAGTAGAAGCACCCATTTGATCTAATACAGCCATGAGTCTTTTTGATGCAACAAGTTTTTCACACCTGGACTTGGGGATCCTCTGCCATTCCTCCTTGCAAATCCTCTCCAGTTCTGTCAGGTTGGACGGTAAACGTTGGTGGACAGCCATTTTTAGGTCTCTCCAGAGATGCTCAATTGCGTTTAAGTCAGGGCTCTGGCTGGGCCATTCAAGAACAGTCACAGAGTTGTTGTGAAGCCACTCCTTCGTTATTTTAGCTGTGTGCTTAGGGTCATTGTCTTGTTGGAAGGTAAACCTTAGTTCCAGTCTGAGGTCCTGAGCACTCTGGAGAAGGTTTTCATCCAGGATATCCCTGTACTTGGCCGCATTCATCTTTCCCTCAATTGCAACCAGTCGTCCTGTCCCTGCAGCTGAAAAACACCCCCACAGCATGATGCTGCCACCACCATGCTTCACTGTTGGGACTGTATTGGACAGGTGCCTGGTTTTCTCCACACATACCGCTTAGAATTAAGGCCAAAAAGTTCTATCTTGGTCTCATCAGACCAGAGAATCTTATTTCTCACCATCTTGGAGTCCTTCAGGTGTTTTTTTAGCAAACTCCATGCGGGCTTTCATGTGTCTTGAACTGAGGAGAGGCTTCCGTCGGGCCACTCTGCCATAAAGCCCCGACTGGTGGAGGGCTGCAGTGATGGTTGACTTTCTACAACTTTCTCCCATCTCCCGACTGCATCTCTGGAGCTCAGCCACAGTGATCTTTGGGTTCTTCTTTACCTCTCTCACCAAGGCTCTTCTCCCCCGATAGCTCAGTTTGGCCGGACGGCCAGCTCTAGGAAGGGTTCTGGTCATCCCAAACGTCTTCCATTTAAGGATTATGGAGGCCACCGTGCTCTTAGGAACCTTAAGTGCAGCAGAAATTTTTCTGTAACCTTGGCCAGATCTGTGCCTTGCCACAATTCTGTCTCTGAGCTCTTCAGGCAATTCCTTTGACCTCATGATTCTCATTTGCTCTGACATGCACTGTGAGCTGTAAGGTCTTATATAGACAGGTGTGTGGCTTTCCTAATCAAGTCCAATCAGTATAATCAAACACAGCTGGACTCAAATGAAGGTGTAGAACCATCTCAAGGATGATCAGAACAAATGGACAGCACCTGAGTTAAATATATGAGTGTCACAGCAAAGGGTCTGAATACTTAAGACCATGTGATATTTCAGTTTTTCTTTTTGAATAAATCTGCAAAAATGTCAACAAATCTGTGTTTTTCTGTCAATATGGGGTGCTGTGTGTACATTAATGAGGAAAAAAAATTAACTTAAATGATTTTAGCAAATGGCTGCAATATAACAAAGAGTGAAAAATTTAAGGGGGTCTGAATACTTTCCGTACCCACTGTATATAATTTAATTACTATCATTAAATTATGTGTTTATTGTCATTATAATAGCCATATCTTTTGAATCCTAATTACAACAAAAAAATAACGAGTCAGAGTTTTTTTTTATCATAATTACAGAAAAAAAAACGACATAATTTCTGAAGAAATAGTAGCACAGAATACGAATTTTATTTATAAACAAACATACATACATACATACATATATATATATATATATATATAAGCTGAATACGAAAACAGAATTTCTGAAGATGTCACAAATGAGGAAATAAAGCACGTTGCATCATGAAGACACACAATCCCAAACCGGAAGCAGACAAGCACAGAGACAGCCACTGGAATACATATAGCCAATGCATTAGTGAGTTCTCACCTGACTGTCGGCATGATCAGATCTCACACACTTTGGCTGTCTGTAGTAACAGAGATTCTGCTGCACGCTGCGAGCGCGTGCGATTCGTTTCCCACATGCAATGTCCTGCAACCCGGAAGCCGAAATCGGCTCCAGATGGGTGATGATTGGTTATTTCACATGCATGCAAGTAGGGCTCATGGATAGATCCATCATTCTGGTTGGCTGATAGACCCATATGTGTTTTTAAGGTCTGAAAGTTTTCGAGTCATTTCTGCATATCGAATCATAGACTGTTCGAGTGCATGATGCATGTTTGCTGTGTGTTTAATGGTAGCAGCTAAGCACCGTATCAGCTGTGCAGCACCTGTGATCATGAAATCAGAACATCACAGATGCGCATCGTGCTTGTGTGTTTTACCAGTGTCTTCTTGTTCTGCGCACCGCTGGAGTCACACACACACCGACATCTATATAGCGCTTTTCTGGGCACTCAAAGTGCTTTAAATAGAAGGGGAGAATCTCCTCATCCACCACCAGTGTGCAGCATCACCTGGATGATGCTACGGCAGCCATAGTGCGCCAGAACGCTACCACACACCAGCTTACAGGTGGAGAGGAGACAGTGATGAAGCCAATCAGCAAATAAAGGGGAGGGTTAGGAGGCCATGATGGTCAGAGCCCAATGTGCGAATTTGGCCACCCCTACTCTTTTTCGAAGGACATCCTGGGATTTTTAGTGACCACAGAGAGTCAGGACCTCGGGTTAACGTCTCATCCGAAAGACGGTGCTTTTTGTCAGTATGGTGTCCCAGTATAGTGTTTATAGTGAGATACTTTTTAATACTGCATTAAAATAAGTCCAGGTGTACGGATGCTTTCTATTTTGGCCTAAAACATTGCAATATATTTTCTGTTAATATCAATATCTGTATAAGTCAGTAATTTTGCTTCACCATAGAATGAAGAATGCTGAGAGTTGGCTGAGGTTATTTACATTTACAGTTGTAGTCTTAAAAGGTACAGTAGGTACTTTTTTAGCAAGGAATATTAAAAAGTAGATTTAAGGAGAACGTGTAGAATCGATCAATGTGTCAATGTAATAAGCATAATTAAATGGGTAAAATAGACCAATTTTAATTAGATTTAATTAATATGCATATTTATTATTCTTCTTTCCTCCACCCAGCATCTTTAGACTTACACGAGTTAGATTTGTTGCATGTGTTCAGAAAAAAAATTAACCAGATTTTTTTATTTAATTATAAATAAAATTATTCAAATGTATAGGGTAAATATTCACTTCAAAAAAATAAACTGGAGAAACTTATACGATTTAAAATATACTCCTTAAAAATTTGTAAGCACTTTTTAACTTTAACTGGGGATATTACATGTCAAAAATGTATCTAATTGATAAAAAAAAATAGTCAGTTGTTATAATATTATGAATGTCATAGAGGGTTAACTGGTAAAAAACTGCAATGAATGGAGTGTTAGTGACAACAGAAATAAGATGAAGAGAATCAATGTGGAATAAATAGCTTTATATTTAGAAGGCCAATTTAATTTGCATGACCTTTAAAGCATTATATAATGCATATTCATCGACCATTTAAAGTAATGCCAACATATAAAGCCCCACACATATGATTCAGTTGATAATTAGTTCTTTTATTATGACAAGGCACATCAGGTCTTACAGGCTGTCTTTAAAGATGAACACATTATTTACATAAAACCTGCTGGTCTCCTCAATGATAGAAAAGGCAAAGATATGAAAAGAGCCAATTCTCACTCAGATAAATATACTTGAGTGTGCTTTCTGTAGTAGTGTATTGAGCACAGTGAAGTCTTAGTGGAAATACGAGGACGGCATGAGTGTCTGTCTGTGTGTGCGAGTGTGTGAGTGTCTGTCTGTGTGTGTGTGTGTGCGTGTGAGTGAGTGTGTGTGTGTGTGAGTGTCTGTCTGTGTGTGTGGTTATATCATGCAAACGGACTGGTTTGGCATAGATTACAGGAAGCACCAGGTCGCAGGTTTGATTCCCTCTTCATTTCAGTACTTGTATTGGAGTTTGCAGCGTCGTCCCTGAATGAAAGTTTGATTTATATGCACAATAAACACTTTACAATAAAAAGCACATTCAGAGGATTTTATAATCCAAAATCTGTGCTTGTGTTTTTGTTTGTGAAGACATAATATTAGTTTGTGCATGTGACATTTATTAATACATTCAAAGAGTGAAAACGAGGCTGTTGGTATATATATATATATATATATATATATATATAGAAATGACACCTTAAGAAATGAACAGCTTCAAAATGCACAGATTGTTTTGTTTCTGTAAAAAAACAAAAGAAAAAAGAAATTATGACCTTTCTGAAATACCAGAATTAAACTTTCCCTCAAAAAATATCAACCTGGGATCCATCAAAACAAAATAAATAATTTGAAAAAAAGCAATCGAGCAAGTTAACGTCCCTTCTTTTAAACTCATGGTCGTTCAAGCTGAATGAACTGCATGTGAATCTTGTTGAAATGGGAGTAAAAATGGCACAAAAAGAAACACTCAACAAATCTTTTTGGTGAATAGATTCACAAGAGTCACTTTCCCCCAAACGCTAGATGGTTTAACGTTCGAAAATGAAAAAATTAAGCAAGTCATAAATATTACTGCTGTAATTTTACAGAAATTTATATTATTACAAATTTTTTTTTTTCTTCAATTTTTTAAATATTTCATCAATATTTTTTTATTTAACTGAAATATTACAATATTTATTTTTGATTAATATTTGTATTTTTATATATAGTATTTTTTATATATAACAACAATAATACAAAATATATTATTATTAATATTAATTTTAACATTACATGTGTAAAATAACACTATTATATAGTCATATATATAATAACAAAATTTTGTGCGAAATTGTGCAGCCTTACATTCAAGCACAGCAAACTTGGAGTTTCTTTTTTTAAAATTGCATTTTATACAGCAACTGCAATCGCAATTTTTAATCAGAAAAATCAGTTATTTTCCCCCCCCCCAAATAATGCAGTCCTAAAAGAAACAACCAAATTGAAGTGGAATTTATTCCAGTATCTTCTATCTGGTCTCAGTTTGGTTTGCTTTTGAGCATTTTTGGTAGCTTTCTGGGTAAAAAAATAAATTAATAAATAAAAAAAACCTTTGTTGATCAAGTACTGCTGGCATCCTGTTTGACATAAAAAGATTACTGAAAAAAAAAAAAAATTTAAATATAAAAACATCTAAAAAATAAAACAAAAAAAAGTGTCAAATAAAAATAAAACAATATAAAAAAAATTAAATCATAAAAAATATAATGAAATAAATCTCAAACCCTGAAACACATCATCCATTATGGACTGTTTGCTCTTCTCACCTGCAGTAAGTTGGTTCGTATGCGTTTGTCTGTGCACTGTTTGGCGACCTCCTTGGCGAGGAGCGTGACCTCGTCTGAGGCTTTAGCGATGTCTTTGGCGCACTGGATGAGCGCCCTCTTATTCCCGCTGGCGCCCCGGACCAGTCGAGACATCTCGGCCATCAGCAGAGCCATGCGCTTGGCAGCTCCGATGATGTCATTGCCCTGCAAGAAACCTCGTTTAATATCTATACATGCGCCGCAAACCAACCCAAACCCATCAGACTCACCTTGCTGGACCACTTGCGGGCCTCGTCGTGCAGCTGCCTCGCAGCCACCATCATGGGCTCGCTGACCATCTCTCCGGCCTGCTGTTCAGGGAACTCCTCGTCCTTCTCCTCCGGCGGTGGAGGTCTGGGAGGAGGCACTTCACCCTCTGGCAGCGGCGGTTTTGGAGGGGCGGCGTTGTCGCTTATCTGAAGGAGAACCGGGATTGGTGATTAAAACCGTGCTGGTGCAGTAAATGCATGCAGCTGCGGGAGTCTGCGGTGAATCTGACCTGCAGGTGCTCCAGGTCTGGAGGTGGAGGAGGGAAGTCTGGCTCCTGCGGCTGGAACGCCTCCTGGACTTTAGCCACGGCACCCAGGATCTTATAACCCGAGTCCAGGAAGCCCCTCTGAAGGCCTGACCAGGAAGACAATGGGCACAGGTTCAACTAAAGGCCTTTCCACACTGAGCGCGATGCGAATCGCCGAAGAACGGTGCTTTCACACCGAGTGCGAAACGATTGTTCGCCTTCTGCTAAGTCACACCTGCACACTAGGTGGCGCCGACCAACAATGCATTTTTCCTCAGATATGTATCTCGTTAGTGTTGTCACGGTACCAAAATTTCAGGATGCGGTACCAATACCAGTAAAAATCCACGGTTCTCGGTACCAATTTCGGTACCAAAGCAAAACACAAAAACATGCTAATTAAAAAAGTTGACTATACTTTCATTTAATCCAAACCGTGTACATATTTAATTTTAAAGGGCTTTTGAAAACCTTCTAGAGCTCAGAAATACAGTGATATAAAAACACCCGCACCAGGTTTCGACTTTGACACGTGCAGTGCTCATGTTTATTCAACGAAGTCAAAGCCTTTTGGAAAATCTATTTGTGGCGGTCAGTTTTGATATTGTGGCGGTCAGTTTTGATATTGTGGCGGGCTGCCACAAATAAATCAATGTATAGGAAACACAAGATCTAAATATTAAAATGAAACTGACCTGCTTGAACTCTTTAATTTGATCTGGGTGTCTGTCTTTAAAGTGTTTTGTTAGTTTGGTGTGTTTCCTCGTTTGTCCATGTCGCCACGTCTCAGTGCTTTTATGAAGAGAGCGCATCTGCGCACCTTTCGGATAGCGCATCAAGAACCGGGTTGACCGGGTACTCGGTACCACCGGTACTTAAAAAAACCTGGTACCGTAACCTTTTCATTTTTTTAGTACCGACTTGGTACCGAAATACCGGGTCTTTTGACAACACTATATATCGTAAATGGATTTAACATCTAAATAAAGATAAACAAAGTTTGGCTCTACACCAGAAACTCAAACTATCTATAATGCTTACAAGAATAGGCTACATCCTAAAATATAATTAGAAGTACAATTAGCATCAAGCTACACTTGAAAATGTATTTGCTTACCCACTTTAAACCATCATCGAGTGCTTGTAATAACCTCCGATTGTGATTTATAGTTGATTCTATAATAAGCAGACGCATGCACCCATAATCATATGTCTATTTGCTTTCACATTTCATGTGTAGAAAAATGTTTAACTCGATTTTTTTAATACGGAAGATATAGACTAGAGAGTGAACGCGCTCGGACTCATAACACTCGCGCACAGTGCTCTCCAGATCACATGATTCAGTGGAGAATTATTAGACATGTTATTCTGTATAAAGAACATGTGAGAATAAATCTGTTCTCGAATACCAACGATAACAAGAACTCAGCATCCACTCTCTTATCCAGGACACTCTTCTTCAGTGTTTGTTTTCACTGGTTTTCGAAACAGCGCCACCACTCTTACCCTTTTGTGCAACAGCAGCTGCTCCGGTCAGGTGATCCTAGCTCAAATCTTATTGGACGGCTCGTGTTTTCGCTTTGCGAAACTGAAAAGATTTGTCGGACTGGTGCGGAAAAAAACATTTGCATTTTCGGTGCGCGAATGTTCACGGTCTATGTGGAAGCATCCATAGAAATGTATCGTTTTATTCCAGTGCGTCATCGCATCCGATATTCGTTTCACTTTTTCGTGCTCAGTGTGGAAAGGCCTTAAGGCTGTGACTGAATTAAATAAATATATGCGATGTGTTTCAGAGTGAAGCGCGGCACTGTGTTCATGTACACGCCAGCAGCTCACGATCCGGTGTTTTCAGCATCTCAGAGCGGCAGGAAATGCTGCTCCACTGCTTTCACGTGTATTTGAGAACACGACCTGCTCCAACCATCTTGAGACTTGTAGGTTTAACGATTAAAAATTTATAAATTAAGAAAGTCAAACATTAATATTGTAATTTTACATTTATACTGTAAAAAAAAGATTATTATCCCCCCCCCAAATACTCTTTTTTTCTTTTACAGTGAAATGTAACAAACAGCTATTTTTATTTTGTTTAATTTTGTATTTAGTAGCAGTAATAATATTTTTTATAGTTGGTAAAAATATTATAATTTTTTTATAATTTTTTATAAACCACATTTTTGCCAAATTGTGAAGCCTTACAATTGCACAGCAGTGAGATATTACAATAGCATTATTTCTTATTTTGTTTAATATTTGTAATATTAAGTAATACTACTACTAATAATAACAGATAATTTTATAGTCATATTTTTATATAAATCACAAGTTTTTTTTGCCAAATTGTGAAGCTCTAAAAACATACATTAAACATTTTGTTAGTAATAATAATAATAATAGTAATATTTTTTTGTTTGTTAGTTTTATTTTTTATTTGTTAGTAATAATAACAATAATAACAACAACAACAACAACAATAATAATAATAACAATTTTATAATCATGTCCATGTCAATATATAAATCACAAAATTGTTGGCCAAATTATGAATCCCTACAATCATGTAATCAAATTTTATTTAGAAATAATAATAATAATAATAATAATAATAATAATAATAATAATAATAATAATAATAATAATAATAATAATAATAATAATAATAATAATAATAATAATAATAATAATAATAATAATAATAATAATAATAATAATAATAATAATAATAATAATAATAATAATAATAATAATAATAATAAGCATTAATATTATTATTGATAATTTTATAGTCATATTTATAAAAAAATCACAACATTTTTGGTTAAATGATATCATATAAACAAGCATAACAGTGAAATATTACAATAGTAATAGTTATTATTTTGTTTCATATTTTTATTTAGTAGTAGTAGTAGTAGTAATAATAAATAAGTTATAATAAGTTAAATAAAAACTTTTATGGTCATATTTATATATAAATCACTAAAATTTTGGCCAAATTGTAAAGCCAAATAAAATAGCATTTTAAATGAAATTTTTTTTTTTAATCGGATAAATCACAATTAGATATTTTCCCCATGACATGCAGCTCTACTTTCAACCAACCACTCTTCCCGCAGATCTTTAAAAGTGCACTAATATATATATATATATATATGAGTGATGCTAGCCTGTGATAATGATGCTGGGTGCTGTGGATGGTTGCTATGCAGTTGTGTGTCTCACCGTGGTCCTGTATGTTGGCGGCCACGGCCTTGGCGTCCATGACCATCGGTGAGATGGTCCTGCTGAGCTCGTCAGACGCCGCTTTCACGGTCTCTCTGAACTTCGGGTCCTCTGAGTTCTCCACCTCTCGCTTCGCCACCAGCAGGATCCGATTGGCTCGCCGGGCGATGCTGGTTGCCCCGGCGACCAGCATCTGAGGCTGGTGATTGGCCATAGCTACCTGACACTTGTCCAGATCTTTCTTAATGGCTTCTTCTGATGCATACAACAGAGACCTGGTGTCAATCGCTTCATCCACCAGACCTGAGAGACAGACAGAGAGAGTTGAGATTTGTTCATACAGTTACCGTAGATGATTTATGCAAATGAAAAAAGTAAACATTGTCCCCATTCAGATAGAACTACTCAGACAAACATTGTGATTTCAACCAATTTATATTGTATTTTTTATACAATTTATTTTGATCTTTGTCAAATACTGTAACAATTTTTTTCATTGCTCTCTGATAGTTTTCTGGACAAAATAACCATTTGTGGGTCAAGTACTGCTGGCATCCCGTCTGATAATTACGGACAATAAAATAAACTAAAATATTAAAAAATAAAATGTTAAATAAAAAATAAAAATAAAATGTAAAATAAACAATAAAACAAAATAAAAATGAAATAAATACATTAGATCCTGTCTGACATAAAAAGATATGGGCTAAAAATTTAATTAAATTAAATAAAAAAAAATTAATCAATTAAAAAAAGACAATTTTAACTAAAATAATAAAATTAAATAAAAATTAAATAAGTAAAAATAAATACATTAGATCTATGGATAACATCTTGTCTGACATAAAAAGATATTTACTGAAAATAAAATGAAATAAAAATATAAAATAAATTAAATAAAAATATAAACAATACATAGATAGATAGATAAATAAAATAATATAAAATTTAAATAAAATTCAATAAATGAAAAATTCATTACATAGATCGATATATAGCATCCTGTCTAAAAAAACAAAAAAAAAAAACAATATAAAAACAAAAAATGAAATAAATCAATAAAAATATGAACATCAGACAGAAGTTTGTCACCTGTCATTTTCTCGACATTGTCGATCCACTGATTCTTCATGGTCTCAAAGTGTTCGTAAGCCGCCTGGTTTCCAGGATTCTTCAGGAGGATGCGAGCTGCAGAGACGACCTGACGAAAAAAATGTTTAAAAATCACACTTATGTACAGTAAATTTTCCACCAGCTTCGGTCTCGTGTGAACGGTGTTTCTGTTACCTGCGGCGTCAGATCTCGGGCTGATTTGACGGCCGTCTGGATTCCCTCCACCGTGCTCTTGTTGGCCGTGCCGACTGCGGCCGCTTTCTCCGCCGTGGCTCCCAGACGACCCGAGTGATTCTCAAAGTTTGCGGCCCGCTCCTCAAACACCTGATCACACACACATTATCCATAAATGTAATTTATTTCTGTGATCAAAGCTGAATTTTCAGCATCATTACTGCAGTCTTCAGTGTCACATGATCTTCAGAAATCATTCTAATATGCTGATTTGCTGCTCAAGAAACATTTCTGATTATTATCAATGTTGAAAACAGTTGTGCTGCACAATATTTGTGTGGAAACCGTGATGCATTTTATTTTTCAGGATTCACAGATGAATAGAACGTTTAAAAGAAGAGCATTTATTAGAAATATAAATCTTTTATAACATTATAAATGTCTTTCTTGCCACTTTTGATCACTTTAATGCATCCTTGATTAATAAAAAGTATTAATTTCCCCAAATCTTTGAATGGTAACGTATAGAACTTGTGAAATATCACATGATGCTGTTGGTCTCGAGAGGAAGATTTATATTCCCTCACCAGCAGGTGGAGCTCTTTACTGTATCGTTGTGCATGTGTGATATTGAATATGACTGCGCTTGCATGCATTTATCACATTTATTTGTTTAAAAATAGTGATAGTTGTGTATTTGCATGTACATAAACGGGACTATTTTCTGCACTTAACTTTTTTTTTTTACAGAATAATAATTATATAAAAACAAAATAAAATATTTATAAAAAAATAATTAATTACAAACAGAAAAGTTATTAGAAGAAATGTATTACAAAGAAAATAAAAATGACAAAAGCACATAAAATATAAAAATAAAAGCTTGTTCAAGCTTATTTATAACAGTACATAAATAATAGCTCTGTTATGATTGGCTAACCTCAGTGTAAGCAGGTGAAGTTCACTCTGTCATTTATCAAGTCAATGAGAACTGATCATGTGTTTGTAAATGAGTAAATAAATATTTGTGAGAACATGAGAATATTTCTGAATGTTGTTTCTGGAGGTCTGGCTGAAGCGGGGAGATGAGCATGACTTACTTTGAGTGTGTCCTGCAGCTGCTGAGCGATGGCGCGGGCCTGAGGACCGTCTCCCTCCCCGCGGACCGCTAGCTCGGCTAACTGCCCCATCAGGTGCTCCACCTCCTCACATTTACCCAGCAGCCCCTGCCTCTGTGACGCCGGCAGCGCATTGGCCAGACGACGGCCCTCGGCGACCAGCCCACGGATCGCAGCCTGACCTACAATCACAAACACACAAACCCTAATGCAAAGGAGATCCGTTTCACTGGAGTATGAGAGAGAGCGGGATGAGAGCCGCACCGACGCCGCTGTCGTCCAGCGAGGAGTTGTCGATCCATCTCTGCGCCTGCTCCATCTTCCCCTCCAGGTGAACGGCCGCTTTGGCGGGCCGAGTGTTGGCCACTGCTTTGCTGGTTTTGGACTGGAGGTTCTGCAGAGCTGTGGCGATCTGCTTCGCCAGCGCTCGAGCCTCAGGAGTGTCGCCCTTACCACTGAACACAGACACAGACACAGAGACACAGAGACACACACAGACACAGACATACACAGACACACACACACAGACACACACACACACACACAGAGACAGACACACACACAGAGACAGACACATAGACACAGACACAGACACACAGACACAGACACACACAGACACAGACACACAGAGACAGACACACACACACAGAGACAGACACACACACACACAGAGACAGACACACAGACACAGACACACAGACACACACAGACACACAGGTTTTCCTATTTTAATATACATTAAAATCTAATTTATTCCTGTGACGTAAAGCTGAATTTTCAGCATCATTACTCCAGTCTTCAGTGTCACATGATCTTCAGAAATCATTCTAATATGCTGATTTATTATCAGTGCTGAAACTGTTGCTGCTTCATATTTTGTTGGAACCTGTGATACTTTTTTTCAGGATTCTTTGATGAATAAAATGTTTAAAAGAAGAGCATTTATTTAAAATAAAAATCTTTTCTAACAATATACACCACAGTTCAAAAGTTTGGGGGACAGTATATTTTTATTCTTTCTTTTTTTGAAAGAAATTAAAACTTTTATTCAGCAAGGATGTTAAATTGTTAAGAAGTGATAGCAAAGATTTATATTGTTAGAAAATATTTATATTTTGAATAAATGCTGTTCTTTTTAACTTTTTATTCATCAAAGAATCCTGAAAAGTATCGCAGTTTCC